CGGAGCTTCGTAGTTAGCTCTGGTTCTTCCACTGGATTGACCGTAAATCGAAGGAAACATGTTGTCTTCTAGTGCTGCAACATAAAACCAGACATATCAGTAAAAAGGAAGAAAGAAAAAAAACCGAGAATCGAATCGGGAAAAGATGAGATTACAAACTAGTCAAGGAAGGAGAATGAAGATCCTATATGGCCCATAGCTACTGGACTTCGCTGAAGAGGAGGCACCGATCGCTAATGAAGAAAAGATCCGCGGCTTGAATGGCTGAGCAGAGGAGGCATCACGGCAGCAAGAGGATTGCTGGAATTAGAAATGATTGAAGCAAACACTGAAAATCATAAGAAACGAGACCGAGGACAACGATTGAAGCCTGATTCGAAGATTAAAACTAAGAGAAAGAAAATGCACTCAGCTTCGGCCATGGTCGAACCTATCGCTTTTCCCTTTCTTCAAACTTGTTCAGCCAAGTGAAGACATAGAGCGAGGGAGAGAGATTTAGTAAAGAGAAAATTGCGGGGAGAGAGAATCTGTCAACCAACAGAGAGAATGGGTGTGAGTTCTCCGATAGAGAGGGAATTCAGCAATTGAACGATTAATCAGGATTGGATAATCTGGTCGTGGTGGAGTTTGAGATTCCGGTGGATTGAACGATTCCTAAGGGGGAGATGTTAGTCAATTGAGTAAAAGTCTGCTACCATCTCGGGAGATTTTTGCTGACAATAACCTCCATCTCCATCTATAAATGGAGGAACAGAGGAAGGCTTGAGCTTTTACGGAGGACAACGAAAAAGCAGAGAGGGAGAGAGAGAGAACAAGAAATAGAGAGAGAGAGAGAGAGAGAGAGAGAGAGAGAGAGAGAGAGAGAGAGAGGGAAAGAGAGAGAGAGAGAGAGCAAGAAGTAGTGCTCCCTGGGTTTTGTCATGCTATTACCTTCTTGACCACATTGTGCAGTCGCCCCGATCTCACTCGTGCTGCTCGACCCAATGGTATAGTATTTCCATGAACCACCGTCATTTTTCAGTTACATATGCTAAATTTCTGCAGTTGCTCCTACTACTATTGAAAGAAAGCCAACCTACATTATCATGGACAGTTTACCACGCACACAGAGTTGGCGAGGGCTCTCATTCAAGTAGAAAACTCACCTCCAAGCCCTTGTGGCTGAAGCCTGCTCCTCTTCCTCCTCCTCCAATAAAAGGTCGCGCAGGCACAGAAAGTAAGAAAAATCACCACCATAATGGCGATCGCCACCAGCCTCCCCAATCCCCCGTTCAGAGGAGAGGAGTTTATCGTGGTGCGAGGTGTCTTAAGGGAGGTGGCCCTGCTGATCAATGCACCCGCAGGCGGGCTAGGCGAAGTCCTGGTGACAAGGCCATTCGCCGCCGCCGAAGCGGAGGCTGGCAGAGAAATAGACATCGGAGGATGTAGATTTCGAGGCATTTTGTTGGGCAGCGTTTGTCTGTTTGATCTTACGGCTATTTCTGGGGAGGACGGTGGCTGGGTTTAATTTGGCTTTGAACGGGGTGGATTGCCGGGGGTGACGCTGGTGGCGATTGCCGTCATCGGCGTGATTTTTCTGACTCAGACCACCACTGGAGCTTCATCAGATTTTGCTCCAGTGGAGAGGTGGGTTTATTCGCGCAAGTGGTCTTCCATTGGTAGACGGCCCTGGTGGTCAATGTCGGGTAGGCGAAGTAGTGGTGAAGCCATTCGCCACTGCCGGAGCGAAAGTCGGCAGAGATGTCGACATCGGAGTCCGGCGAGTCCGAGGCATGTTGCTCGGGATTTCTGTGTTTGCTATTTATATTTTCTGGTTATAACTTGTAAGTAGTCAAAAAAAGAAGTGGGTCCCGCACTGAATGGGTTTGGACAAAAGGTTGTAATGAGATGGGCCGACGCTTTAGTTGTTGTTTATTATTTGTTATTTATCTTATCATTTGTTATTTATTTTGTTTATATTTATTTATCTTTATCTATTTAAAAAAATGTATGTTCGATTTGCTTAAAAAATAAAAGTGTCAACTAAGGTAACGAGGGCAGTGTTGCAACATAATAAAGTTCCAATCTTGACAATCTAGACGGGAGCTTCAAGCAATTTGTTTATCGCTGTATGTTCTATCCAAATTACTCTTAATTTCCTCCAATTTCTGATCGAATCGGGTAGATTGACTACTTGTGACCATAATAGATCCAACTTGAGTAATGATTATAATTCTCCAATCAAGCATAGAAGCTCCATTTTCCGGCAGCAACTGCATATTTGGCAAGTGTGTAAGTCAATCCAACACCCAATTTATTTGACAAAATGTAACAAAGACAAGATCCACGAGAGCTATGTTCAATTTTCCTATTAATCTCAATATTAAAGCTAATTAAAGCTATTTTTTCAGACTCATAACTACACAAAGATTACATTTTAATTCTTTTCTTTAAGAGGGAAAAACATATATACTGTGAGATTAAGGTTAGAATTGAAATCAGTAATAATTCCTAGTGTAGAAGAAATATTCTCCAAACCTTCCCAGTAATTATAAAAAAACCAAGATGGGCTGAGCTCACACGTTTTAAACATTAAGCTGCCAAGATCAACTTCGAATAGAAATTGAGATGAAAAAAATCAAGTGTGGCAGCTAAGAGATTTTTTAAATGTGGTATAAGGAAAAATCAAGGCATGGGATTGAATAATCATATTTTCACATTTTCATAGGATCACTATCGAGAGTACAGACTTGTGTATCTCCAATAATTACCCGATGTGTGTGGGATGAAGAGACCGCTGCCCCTGATGGAAATTAATCAGATGCTCAAAGAGTCCTAAATACTCTATTGATATACAAGAGACATTTTTTTTGTCAAAAGAAATTTCCATTAATTACCAAAATCTAAGAGACATCTAAGTTTATTAATCTTGAAAATATACATTGGTTTTGAACTACATACATAACTCAATTGGAAGAAACCGAAGGTTCATAGAAGATGCCTTCTCATTTTTATTTATTTTATAAAAACTACTAAGCATAATCATAATTCATTTCTCGAAACATCACTTTAATAGTTCTAAAAAAACCCAATTTCACTGAGTAATTACACCCCATTGATGGGACAAGTGAATATAAAGTGTACTTGTATGTTATGGGGATCATTAACTCCATATTAATGTGTGCCTATTTCATGGACCGCATAGATCACAACGTTTTTTAATGGCTGAGCTTGACCACTCCCGTCTCTCTCTCTCGCTTTCCGATTCATTCACTGGAAAAGTAGCGTAACGATTCACAAAGCCGATGTCTTCTCATTGCAAACTCCAAATTGGAAAATAAATATAATAAAGCTGCTTGGAACAGTATTAGTATTTGCTAGTGCATAAATGCAATTAGAAGGCAATGGAAAATTGGCCAAATTTTTGTAATTCCAAAAGTCATAATCTACACTCAACAAAGGAGAATTTACCAGTATGTTTGAGGACAATATACCAATCTAAGCTACCTTAGTGTGAAACCAATATTTAGTGAAGCAAGCTCGGAAATACAAACTATGCTTGAACATTTGTCAACCCATTTTGATTTTCAAAGCGCTTTTTCCATGCCCATTTTTGCTTATCCTTGCCCTACGACAATGTATTGACCATATTGCCCCTTCTTCTGTGACTTTATTGTCTCCTCTCTCTGTTCTCTCTCTTGCTTTCGCTCATGCGCGACTTGCTCCATCTCGAGAGCCAGTTCCCCTTCTTCGTTCTCCAAACGCTTTAAGATATGTCAAAGTGCCCCGACAAACCACAGTGTTCTCTCGTCGAGCTTGCGCTACAATTCTTCAACTATGCAGCTATTGCTGGTAATGTGTATGCTACTGCTCGCGGACTTGGGCATGGCGTCGCTTGACCGCCGGATATCCTACCGAGGTTGGTGAATGGTGATGGTTCACTGAGAGAGAACCAACAAAACCCAAAAAAAAGAAGAAGAAAAGGTCACGGAAGGGGCAATATGGTCAACCCACCCGTAATAGAGCGTGGATAAGCAAAAACAGGCATGGAAAAAGCTCCCGCCGAATGCAAAATGCGTTCCTTTTTTCCCCCTTAGATGACCACTGGTTTAGTCGCACCATCTATATATTAATGAGATGGGATCTATTGTTGCTGTGATTATGGTTTCGTCTAGAGTTTCGATCTCGGTTTTCATTTAATTTCTCGTAACATTCTTTTCCATTTCATGATATTATTTTTGAACTAAAGCTTTGTAATTTGGATGAATTACCACTCTTCTTTGTTTAAATTAGAAAAAAAAAAAATACTTGAGCCTTTTGTTACACGACAAAATCCCCCCCCCCCCAAAAGTCAATGCAGATATTGATCTCTTTCGTTACAAATGTATTTTTTCTATTGTAGATTTAACTGATAAATTCATTTTTTGTGATGAAGGTTCAATAATCTTTATTTTGATTTTTTTTTATAGAAAATCTATTTAGATCAATTTCACGAGTTCTCTTCTTGTTATATTATCATATCTAGGCGAAATTTGCTTTGATTAAAGGATTTTGCACCCTTTTGATAGCAGCTCTATCTACTTCCTCTCCATTACTTCCTCTTTTATATGCCTTCTTTTAATTTTACGAACTATCTCACTCTTTCTCAAGAAAAGGCTGAAAACATCAATATCTGCTTTATACTAAATGAAGTTACATGCTGTTTTTAAGAAGCCACACACGTTGAAATAAGAGAGGAAAGGTTGAAAATATTTAAGCGATAGAAAACAAAAGGTAAAAGTAGTAAGGAAGGGGATCTTTTGTCGTACAAGGATTTATAATGATAAATAAGAATAAAATAAATAATTTGGCACAAGTATGCCAAAATGAATCAGCATGGGCATCCAAATTTTTAAAAGCAAATTATCCTAGCTAACAAGTGTAGTTAGGCAAAGTGTATAACCAATTTCCATTGACTAATTATATTATAAATTATCTCTATTGAAAATAATTCAAAAGGATAATGCTACCTTAAAAAATCATTCAATAAAATGGGGGTTTCTATTGTGTACTTTTTCTCCATACAAATAAATTGCTTTGGAAAAAACCACAAAATAACAGCTTTCATTGGTAGCTTGGACCTATGCGATGGCCGATACGACGCTCCTGAGCACGGGCTCTATAGCAATCTTGACATCGTCTTTGAAAATTGACATTCACAACCCCACATTCGCAGTAATTAACTAATGTTTACATTTAGCATTGTAATAACACGGATATGCTATTTTCTGGTCATGAGAATTAATTTCTTTTTGTGATGAGTGTAGTCCACTGTCAATGTCCCTAGGCAACCGTGGCATGATCTACATTGCAAAGCTAAGATGATAGTTGATACTCTGTGTTTCAGTTTGGAGGAAGCAAAAAAGAGAATATATGCACGTAGCACGACTGAAGTAGAGGCAGAGCATTTCAGAAGCAAGTGTCTTTGTTAAGTTTCCCATCGCAACCAACGAATGATTAGTATCGCATCATCGTTGTGCATTGATATTTTGAGCTCTAAACAGATCTAACTGGAGTTGCTTTTATATTACCTTATTTCTACATTGATTCCCAAAGCAAGGAGCACGGAGGTATGAATTGACTCCACATAAATGCATCTACTATACATCTCTACCACAATTTTTCAGTCATTTAATCCATTCATCCTCTAAATCCAAAAGCTCAACTTGCCTATGATTTATGACCCTGCAACGCTTGTTGTTTTGTTGAACTTACTAAATCATTCGGTGACAAGTATGAAAATGAATGATTACTCATAGACCACCTCCAGTTCAAGTATGGGAGGCCAGGAGGTAGAATGCAATAGAAACTATGACCAACCTAGATAAGACCGGAAAGGAGGTCAAGTGCCGAATCGACAAGGAAGCACTCAATATTGGCTACCGGGGACATATGTAGCTGGATGCTCTGCAAATTTATCCTCCTCAGCAAAGTTATGGTCCCCAGAGGCAAGGTGAAAGAAGAGATCCCATGCCAATGAGCAATATGGATTATGCCACCGGTGGAAGGGATCCATATCAAGCAAGGAAGGAGAGGTCCGGTGCCTTCATACGAGGGAAACTACAATCAGTAGGGTCATAACAACAATTACTATCGGCAAACAGAGAGACCTGCCGCAAGGAGATAGATGGAGCTCTGCACCTCCAGTGCAGAATGATTATAGGAGAGACAATCGGAACCATGCACCTACTCCTGGTGGAACATAAGGGAAGGGTCTTGATGGATTTCAAGGGCAGGGTACTGGTAGTACTGGTGGCCACCTCGCTTGAGGGTTGCTTTTACGAGTTCTTTGAAGGAGGGAGGAAAACAAAAATCATGTCTTTGAAACATCATTCTGAACGGCAGTGGCCAGTGAACACTCCGAGGAAGGAAAGGACATCATGAATGAGTAGGTCGAATTTGGTGTTGTGCACAGTATGTTGGCACAAACGCACTTGAAGGATCAATTAGATTTAAGCTATAACTCTTATAAATAAGCCTTGAATGGTGAGCGTCGAAGCAGAGGGAGAGAATATTGGTATTTTGTTGGCAAGTGCCGTCCGTGCAATATTTCGAGGGGCCTCATTGACCAGTTTTGTCAAGAGATTTCCTCAGATCGGACTAGTCTACCTAATCACCTTTAGACGAAGTCATTATTTTTAAAAAATAATTAATATTACAAAAAAAAAAAGTAGATGCCCCGAGCTCTAAAACTAGTAGAGGGTTTGCTTTGAAATCACAAGAATCATAGAACTAAACTTCAATTTAACATCAGAGTCCTCTAAATCATTTATCAAGCCAAGACTCTCATGGCAATATCAAGCTCACGTCTCATCAATTTATTCACACACGCGATATCACTTATCCACGGGCAACAAAAAGGCAACCAAACTAAAGACAAAATCCATCTAATTGATCCCTATTGCACAAATCCCAGCACATGTTCAGAATTGCAACAGAGCATAAACGACCGCCAATTGTGATCCTTTCATGACTAAATGTCATGAATTGAAGCCATATCTTCCTACAAGCGCGTATGAGTCTGCTTGATCAAAATGGCATCAATCCAAGACCAAATTGTGATCCGAATTTAAACAAAGAAATCACGGTCAGCATGCAATACTTTGATTCTAGCATATTCAAGTTCAGTTATGGCTATAATTCTCGTAAAATTGGCATCAAATTCACCATATTAGTTTTTCCTAGCATGAACATATATGATCCCATAACCAAACTAGCCTCAACGTGGAATCAAAAGCACACCAAATCAGAGATATCAAGACAGTTAGCATACACGGATCGATTTCCAGTAGAATTTAATTCATTCATGACATAAATTTCTTTTCAAGGGAACATGGAATTCACCATAACACAATCTTATATCACTACACATGCTTACTTGAGTGGAATGGCATAAAATCAAGGCCCAATTGACATCAGCTCAGAGCGGCAACAGTCGCAAATCGGCATGTATTGACAAGGTTCAAGCAGATCCAAAACAAGTTCGAAATTGAATACCTATGATTATTTATGAAGAAACAGAACTCAAATACGCTTATATGACCAGAATAGATCAATAATCTAGTAATGAAGGAAATTCTCAGCCAAGAACTGGATCAAAATACACACTGATTCAGTACAGGAATTTCATCAAACAGGTGGTATGCATTTCGGCCAAGGAGCACCAGATCAAATCATCAATACAGCATGAATAATAACCGATTTTCACACAGACAATAGCAATAGCTCCCAGCCTCTGCTTCGTATGTAAAGCAACGGAAAACAGAGGAAATGTGGTTTAGTTGAATGAAGAATGATTAGCTAAAGCGATCGACAACGGATATATGAGTAAGGAGATAGTAGAAGCAACGTCAAGGAATGGAATCGTTGAAGCAGGCAGTCATGACCAACGTTTGAGCACTTCGGCATTACAAAACTTCTTCGCGGCAGCAGAACCGGTGACGATGGGGAACCGGTGACGATCATCAGCAACGAAGCGAGGGGAAAGGATTCAATTGAAATCACCGAGAGAGTGACTTGGGGACGCTCAGAAAATCACCCGAGCTCCTTCGATCAATGGTCTCTGTTCTTGCCCCCTCTCAGCGATGAAAGTTGGGCGGTGGCTGTTGGTGGATGGAGGGCGACGGAGAGGACAACGAAGATCAAAAGGAATCGCCGAGGGCTAAGAGAGAATTTGCTGAGCTCCTTTGGCGTGTGCGAAGGTGGCTCTGCTTCTGTTCTGTTCTGCCCTCCCTCCCTCTGAAGAGCGCACTGAGCCTGGGCATAAAACGGAATCGACGGATCGTTAGATGCAGAGAGAGAGAGAGAGAGAGAGTAAGGAAGAGTGCCAGAGAAGTCTGTTGGCGGCCACGTGATGCAGAGCGCATGTGGGTCCCACTGAGAACTGTGCATTAGCTATAATACAAACTGATTTTCGATTCGAAGGGAAGGGAGCCAAACCAAAGCAGCGAATATTGAAGGAATACCCGACGCCTTATTCTATATTGCCAAACACCGTTCACCGATCCAATCTTGCATCAAGTTCCAAGATCCAGATTTGTCGTCGTCGTGCTCGGTGGCTTTCCCAGTTAACAGTGCCTTGGTCCGGCTCTGCTCCACAGCTTACCATACTCAAGTCTCGCAAGGATGGGAAGTCCTCAGAGTACGGTGATTTCAGAGAGTATTTCTCAGGTAAGAAGCTCCTGAATTTCGGCAACTCGAAAAGTCTAAGAGCAGTTAACTTGGAGAAGGTGATTGTCGTGCGGGTCGCTTCTTCCCATTTTTCATGTCCAGCAATTAGTTCCATATCTTCACACGACTCCACCACCAGCTCTTCGATTTGCCCGAGAAATTCTTCCATGAAGGTAGCGAAAAGCATTTCCAAACGGGAGCACCTCACGGCGTCTACGTATATCAAGTTTGGGAACGGGATGTTTGGGAGACCATCGGACCGCCAAATGTGCCTCAAGCTTTCGAGATCACGCAAAATCAACATCCTCAATTTACCACTCTCTGTATCCGTCCCATCACCTTCGTAAATGATCTCAATCGAACGGCATAAAATCACTTCTAGGATCTCGGGACAATGCTGCAGCCTCTTCCACATGTGGGACATGGCGATACGTTGGAGATTGTCACAGTTCTTCAAATAAAGAGATTCCAATTTCGAAAAGGAATTAGTGGGAATTTGATTGTTCCATAGCTCTTTGCACTGAACGCCTTCAATTTCTAGACTTCTTATATTGGGAAATGTAACCTGCACGAGGATAATGTGAGAGAGGAGGATAGGTAGGACAAATTTATTACATTGTTCTTTCTAAAACATGATAATGCAAGAATACGAATGATCACAGCAAGGGATAGAGCGAACCATCTCATTGAACAACGGTTGTGGGGATTCATCATTTTTTTTGGCCGTCTCGTCTAACTGCCTCTTGACACTTGTAGGACTCCGGATGAATGCTCCAAAGTTAGGGCACTGCAAAATACTTAGATGTATCAAGGAAGGGAAACTCATCACATCTGCCTTTGATCAACCACCTTCTTCCTCGCGAACCACATCCTTCAACTGTTTGCATTGCCTAATGTCTATCCTCTCGAGTTTCTCTAGCGTTGTGGCTGTGAAATTGGGGAAGAGATATTTCATGTCAGAGCAATTCGCAACACTGACAACTTTTAGACTAGGAAAACCCCAAATCATTTGGGAGTCTCTCTTCACCATTTATCTCATCTTTCCTGCTCCCGTCACCCACACTTCTTCCAATTTGGGGAGCAGCAATACAGTTGTTTGCTTAGTATTTGCATCAAGGGACCCACAATCAAACAATGATTCTCGGGAGGGACAGTTTTGAATGTCGACACTTTTCAGGTTGTGCAATCTCCCCATGATTGTGGAAGGGAAGACATTGGATAGGTCGGAGCAATTTTCAAGGGTGAGGGTGGCTAATTTGTAGAAGGAACTTTCGGGAAGATCACCGTGCCATATCCTTTTGAAGGATCCTACTAATTCAAGCCATAACCTCTCCAAGCTTAGTAAACTAACCTGCTAATGAGAGTTATACGTTAGATCATAGCTATGCAACATCTGATAATTTGGCCTACTCCTAACGATCTATTTGATGCAATGGAAGAATGAATTTTCACCAGTGGCCTTACTCTGACAAATGTAAACATAAATAATGAACACATATTAACTAATAAAACCAAATAAAATTCTTCAAGGAGATTTTATTGCTTGCCCCACCATACGTGTGCCCATGACTATAATGGGTATAATCTCAAGAGAACGGATTTGTACCTTTTGATCAAAGAAGGAATCGGAGTAAGCATCTTGTGAATCTGAAGTAGCGCTTACTGGATTTTACTGAAGTAGCGGTTATAAACTAACCTGCTTATAAAAGTTATACTTCAGATCATAGCTATGAAAAATTTGACAATTTGGCCTAATGCTGATGATCTATTTGACAATTATGGCAATATCAAGCATACATCTCACGAATTTAATCATGCACATGCGATATCACTTATCCATGGGCAACCAAACTAAGACAAAATCCATCTAATTCATGCATATTCCACAAATTCCAGCACACATTCAGAATTGCAACAGAGCATACAAGGCCGCATATCGTGATCATTTCATGACTAATTGGCATGAATTGAAGCCATATCTTCCTACAAGCGCATATGAGTCTACTTGATGAAAATGGCATCAATCCAAGACCAATTCATACCAAATTTAAACACAGCAATCGTGGTCAGCACACAATACTTCGATTCTAGCATATTCAAGTTCGGTTATGACTATAATTCTTGCAAAATTGGCATGAGATTCACCATATTAGTTTCCTAGCATGTACAAATATGATCCCATAACCAAACTAGCCTCAACATGGAATCAAAAGCACACCAAATCAGAGATATCAAGACAGAGTTAGCATACGCGGATCGATTTCCAGTAGAATTTAATTCATTCATGACATAATTTATTCTCCAAGCGAAGATGAAATTCGCCATAACACAATCTTATATCACCACACATGCTTACTTGAGTGGAATGGCATAAAATCAAGGACGATTGACATCACCTCAGGGCCGCAACAGTTGCGAATGAGCATGTATTGACAAGGTTCCAGCGGATTCAAACCAAGTTCGAAATTGAATAACTATGATTTTTTATGAAGAAATAGAACTCAAATACGCTTATATGACCAGAATAGATCAACAATATAGTAATGAAGGAAATTCTCGGTCAAGAACTGAATCAAAACACACACTGATTTAGTACAGGAATTTCATCAAACAGGTTGTACGCATTTCGGCCGAGGAGCACCGGTTCAAATCATTAATACGGCCTCAATCACAGTCGATTTGCACACAGACAGTAGCAATGGAAAACAGAGAGCATATGTGGTGTAGTTGAAGGAAGAATGATTAGCTAACAGCGATTGACATCGGACATGAGTAAGGAGACAGCAGAAGCAACGTCAAGGAAGGGAATCGTCGAAGCAGGCAGTCATGACCGACGTTCGAGCACTTCGGCACTACAGACCTTCTTCGCAGTGACGATCATCAGCAACGAAGCGAGGAGGAAAGGATTCGATCGAAACCACCGAGAGAGTGACTTGGGGATGCCCAGAAAATCACCCGAGTTCCTTCGATCGATGCTCTCTGTTCTTGCCCCCCTCTCAGCGTGCCATATCATGTAGTGGCCAGAGATGGAGGTTCGACGGTGGCTGAAGATCGTCCGTGGCCGTAGCTGGAATGGCTGAGCAGATGAGGTGTCGCGGTGGCAAGAGGATAGCTGGAATTAGAAATGATGGAAGCAAACACTGAAGATCATAAGAAGCGAGACCGAGGACAACGATTCCAAGCCTGATTCCAAGATTAAAACTATAGAAAGAAAAAGCACTCAGCTTTGGCCATGGTCGAACCCATTATCGCTTTTCCCTTTCTTCGAACTTGTTCAGCCAAGTGAAGAGATAGAGCGAGATTTAGCAAAGAGAATATTGCGGAGAGAGAGAGAGAATCGGTCAACCAAGAGAGAGAATAATAAGTGTGAGTTCTCTGATAGAGAAGGAATTCATTCAGCGATTGAACGATTAATCAGGAACGGATAATCTGGTCGCGGAGGAGTTTGAACGATTCCGGTGAATTGAACGATTCCTAAGGGGGAGATGTTAGTCAGTTGAGTAAAAGTCTGCTACCATCTGGGGAGATTTTCGCTGACAATATAACCTCCGTCTCTTCTCTATCTATAAATGGAGGAATAGGGGAAGGCTTGAGCTTTTACGGAGGAGAAAGAAAAAGAAGTAGAGCAAGAGAGAGGGAAAGAGAGAGCAATAAGTAATACTGCCTGGGTTTTGTCATGCTATTACCTTCTTGACCACATTGTGCAGTCCCCCCGATTTCACTCGTGCTGCTCGACCCTTTGACAGTCGTCGTCTTGCCTACACATCCAGACGAGTTGCTTGCTGCCTTCCCCGACGCCAGCTCGACGCCACAGCCACGGTGGCAACACTAACAGGCCACAGCTATGCTGCCTTGCTTCGCCACTATGCTTACCGAGCCTTATCCACAGTTGCGATGTCTCTCGTGCTGCTCCGTCCAGACCAAACCAAACACAACCGTCTGGAGTTTTCCCCAAAAATAGCATACAGAGAAATCCCGAGCAACATGCCTCGGACTCGACGGCCTCCGATGTCGTCATCTGCTTTTGCTCCGGTGGTGGTCCTTGTCAGAAAAATCACGCCCATAATGGCAATCGCCACCAACGTCCCCAATCCCCCGTTCAGAGGAGAGGTGGAGTTATTCGCGCGAGTGGTCTTCCATAGGTAGAAGGCCCTGGTGGTCAATGTCTAGGTAGGCGAAGTACTGGTGAAGCCATTCGCCACTACGGGAGCGAAAGCCGGTAGAGATGTCGACATCGGAGGCCGGCGAGTCCGAGCCATGTTGCTCGGAATTTCTCTCTGTTTGCTATTTAGATTATTTTTTTTGGTTGTAAGTAGTCAAAAAAAGAATTGGGTCCTGAACTGAACGGGTTTGGACGAAAGGTTGTAATGAGATGGGCTGACACACTAGTTATTGTTTATTATTTGTTATTTATCTTATTATTCTTTATTTATTTTTTTTATTTGTATTTATCTTTATCAATTTAAAAAAAAAATGCATGTTCGATTTGCTTAAACAATAAAAGTGTCAACTAAGGTAACGAGGGTAGTGTTGCAACATCATAAAATTCCAATCTTGACAATCTAGACGGGAGCTTCAGGCAACTTAGTTATCGTTGTATGTTCTATCCAAATTACTCTTAATTTCATCGAATTTCTGATCGAATCAGGTAGATTGACTACTTGTGACCATGATAGATCCAACTTGAGAAATGATTATGGTTCTCCAATCGAGCATAGAAGCTCCATTCTCCGGTAGCAACCGCATATTTGGCAAGTGCTTAAGTCAATCCAGCACCCAATTTATTGACAAAGTGTAACAAAGACAAGATTCACGAGAGCTACGTTCAATTTTCCTATTAATCTCAATATTAAAGCTAATTAAAGCTAGTTTTTCAGTCTCATAACTACACACAGATTACATTTTAATTCTTTTCTTTAAGAGGGAAAAACATATACTGTGAGATTAAGGTTAGAATTGAAATAAGTAGTAATTCCTAGTGTAGAAGAAATATTCTCCAAACCTTCCCAGTAATTATAAAGAAACCAAGATGGGCTAAGCTCACACGTTTTAAACATTAAGTTGCCAAGATCAACTTCGAATAGAAATTGAGATTAAAAAAATCAAGTGTGGCAGCTAAAAGATTTTCAAAATGTGATATAAGGAAAAATCAAGGCCTGCGATTGAATAATCATATTTGCGCATTTTCATAGGGTCGCTACCAAGAGTACAGACTTGTGTATCTCCAATAATTACCCAATGTGTGTGGGATGAAGAGACCACTGCACCTGATGGAAATTAATCGGATACTCAAAGAGTCTTGCATACTCTATTGATATCTAAGAGGCAACTTTTTTTTTTGGTCAAAAGAAATTTCTATTAATTACCGAAATCTAAGAGACATCTAAGTCTATTAATCTTGTAAATATACATTGGTTTTGAACTACATACACAACTCAATTGGAAGAAACAGACGGTTCATAGAAGATGCCTTCTCATTCTTCCTTCTTTTTAATTTATAAAAACTGCTAAGCATAATCATAGTTCATTTCTCGAAACATCACTTTAATAGTTCTAAAAAAACCAAATTTCATTGAGTAATTGCACCTCATCGATGGGACAAGTGAATATAAAGTTTATTTGTATGTTAAGGGGATCATTAACTCCATATTAATGTGAGCCTATTTCATGAATAGTATGGATCTCAACGTTTTTCAATGGTTGAGCCCGACCACTCACCTCTCTCTCTCTCTCTCTCTCTCTCTCTCTCTCTCTCTCTCTCTCTCTCTCTCTCTCTCCAATTCATTCACTGGAAAGGAAACGTAACGATTCAAAGCTGCTTTGAACAGTATTAATATCTGCTAATGCACAAATGCAATTAGACGGCAATGGAAAAGTGGCCAAATTTTATAATTTCAAAAGTCATAATCTACATTCAACAAAGGAGAATTTACCAGTTTGTTTGAGGACAATATACCAATCTAAACTACCTTAGTGTGAAACTAGTATTTAGCGAAGCATGCTCGGAAATACAAACTAGGTTTGAACATTCATCAACCCACTCGTGTTTTCAAAGATATAATCTATGGTGATCATGGTGATTATAGTATAGAATTAGAAATTTACTTCCCTTGTTGGGCTAGAATGAGTGCGAGGGAAGCAAAGAAGAGAATGGTAAAGAAAAATTTCTTGACGGCTCACAAAAATATTTCCTCTTAAAAGTGGGAGGAAATAGAGGGAAATGCAAAATGAGTTCCTCCCTATCGGATTGCAGTCAAATGTACCGTTTCATTTACCTTTCATTTCAAACCACATTCAATTTCAGTCTAGAGTTTCTATCTCGGTTTTCGTTTAATTTCTCCTAGCATTCTTTCCATTTCATGATATTAGTTTCTGTTAGAGCTTTGTAATTTGGATGAATTACTGCCCTTCTTTGTTTCACCTGAAAAAATAACTTGGGAGTCTTTTGTTACGCAACAAAATCCCCCCTCCCCCTCTTTAAAGCCAATGGAGATATTAATCTCTTTCATTACTAATTTATTTTTTCGATTGTCAGATTTAACTGATCAATTTAATTTTTTTGATGAAGCTTCATAAATCATCATATTGATATTTTAAATAGAACGGAGGTATGATTTGACTCCACAGAAATGCATCTACTATACATCTCTGTCACAATTTTTCAGTCATTTAGTCCATACATCATCTAAATCCATAAGCTAAACTTTCCAATATCTCTACGATTAGTGACCCTGCAACACTTGTTCTGTCGAACTTACTAAATCATTAGGCGACAAGTATGAAAATGGAGTAATTACTCAGAGACCACCACCAGTTTAGTATGGGAGGCCGGGAGGTAGAATGCGTGATTACAATAGAAACTACGACCAACCTAGATATGACCGGCAAGGAGTTCAAGTGCCAAATAGACAAGGGAGCCCTCAATATTGGTTATCAGGGACCTATGCAGCAGGATGCTCCGCAAAATTATTCTCCCCAGCAAAGTTATGGTTTCCCCGGGGCAAGCTGAAAGAAGAAATCCCATGCCAATGAGCACTATGGATTAAGCCACCGGTGGAAGGGATCCAGATCAAGGACATAGGAGAGATCCGGTGCCTTCATATCAGGTAAACTACAATCAACAGGGTCATAACAACAATTACTATCAGCAAACGGAGAGACCTGCCCCAAGGAGATAGATGGAGCTCTGCACCTCCAGTGCAGAATGATTATAGGAGAGACAATCGGAACTATGCACCTACTTATGGCAGTATCAAGCATACATCTCATAAATTTAATCATGCACACGTGATATCACTTATCCACGGGCAATAAAAAAGGCAACCAAACTGAGACAAAATCCATCTAATTCATGCTTATTCCACAAATTCCAGCACATGTTCAGAATTGTAACAGAGCATACAGGACCACAGATTGTCATCATTTGATGACCAATTGACATGAATTGAAGCCGTATCTTCCTACAAGCGCATATGAGTCTACTTCATCAAAATGGCATCAATCCAAGACCAAATAAATACCGAATTTAAACAAAGCAATCACGGTCAGCATGCAATACTTCGATTCTAGCATATTCAAGTTCGGTTATGACCATAATTCTCGCAAAATTGGCATGAGATTCACCATATTAGTTTCCTAGCATGAACATATATGATCCCATAACCAAACTAGCCTCAAGATGGAATCAAAAGCACACCAAATCAGAGATATCAAGACAGAGTAAGCATACACGGATCGATTTCCAGTAGAATTTAATTCATTCATGACATAATTTCTTTTCAAGTGAACATGAAATTCATCATAACACAATCTTATATCACTACAAATGCTTGCTTAAGTGGAATGGCACAAAATCAAGGACCAATTGACATCAGCTCAGAGCCGCAACAGTCGCAAATCATCGTGTCTTGACAAGGTTCCAGCAGGTCCAAACCAAGTTTGAAATTGAATACCTATGATATTTTATGAAGAAACAGAACTCAAATACACTTACATGACCAGAATAGATGAACAATCTAGTAATGAAGGAAATTCTCGGCCAAGAACTGAATCAAAATACACACTGATTCAGTTCAGGAATTTCATCAAACAGGTGGTATACATTTCGGCCAAGGAGCACCAGATCAAATCATTAATACAGCCTCAATCACAGTCGATTTGCACACAGATGGTAGCAATAGCTCCCAGCCTCTGCTTCGTATATAAAGCAACGGAAAACAGAGTTTAGTTGAACGAAGAATGATTAGCTAAGCTAACAGAAGCAACGTCATGGAATGGAAACGTCGAAGCAGGCAGTCATGACCGAAGTTCGAGCACTTCGGCACTACGGGCCTTCTTCGCGGCGGCCGAACTGGTGACGATGGGGAACCGGTGGCGATCATCAGCAACGAAGCGAGTACGGTCCCATCGATCGATGCTTTCGTTCTTCCTCTCAGCAAAATGAATCGCCGACAATGAATATCATGTGGTGGCCAGCGATGGAGGTGCGGCGGTGGCTGTTGGTGGATGGAGGGCGACGGAGACGACAATGAAGATCAAAGGGAATCGACAGTACAGATCGCTGGATGTACAGAGAGAGTAACGAAGAGGTGCCAGAGAAGTCTGTTTGACGGCCACGTGATGCAGAGTGCATGTGGGTCCCACTTGAGAACTGTGTAGTAGCTATAATACAAACTGATTTTCGATACAACGAATATAGAAGGAATACCCGACGCCTTATTCTATATTGCCAAACGCCGTTCACCGATTTCATCTTTCCCAACGTGCGAAGAGCCAGAGCATTTCTCGTCGTTGTTGGTGGCGTGCCCAGTCATCAACAGTGCCTCGGTCCGTCTCCGCTCCACAGCTTACTATACTCAAGTCTCCCAAGGATGGGAAGTCCTCAGAGTCAGAGTACGGTAATTTCAGAGAGTATTTCTCTGGTAAGAAGCTCCTGAATTTCGGCAACTTCATGTCCAGCAATTAGTTTCATATCTTCACACGACTCCACCACCAGCACTTCAATATGCCCGAGAAATTCCACCTTGAAGGTAGCGAAAAGCATTTCCAAACGGGAGCACCTCACAGCCTCTACGTATCTCAAGTTTGGGAACGGGACGTTTGGGAGACCATCGGACTGCCAAATGTGCCTCAAGTTTTCGAGATCATGCAAAACCAGCCTCCTCAATTTATCACTCTCTGTATCCGTCCCATCGCCTTCGTATATGATCTCGATCGAACGGTATGAAATCACTCGTAGGATCTTGAGACAGCACTGCAGCCTCTTCCACATGTGGGACAGGGCGATACGTTGGAGATTGTCACAGCCCTTCCATTCAAGAGATTCCAATGTCCAAAAGGAATCGGCAGGAATTTGAATGTCCCATAGCTCTTTGCACTGCAGGCCTTCAATTTCTAGACTTCTTATATTGGGAAATGTAACCTGCATGAGAATAATGTGAGAGAGGAGGATAATTAGGACAAATTTATTACATCGTTCATTCTAAAACATGATAATGCAAGAATACGAAAGATCACAGTAAGGGATAGAGCGAACTATCTCATTGAACAACGGTTGTGGGGATTCATCATTATTTTCGATTGTCTCACCCAATTGCCTCTCGACACTTGTAGGACTCCGGATGAACGCTCCAAAGTTAGGGTACTGCAAAATACATAGATGTCTTAAGGAAGGGAAACTCATCACATCTGCCTTTGATCGACCACCTTCTTCCTCGGGAACCACTTCCTTCATCTGTTCGCATTGCCTAATGTCTATCCTCTCGAGTTTCTCTAGCGTTGTGGCTGTGAAACGGGGGAAGAGATATTTCATGTCGGAGCAATTCACAACAGAGACAACTTCGAGACTAGGAAAACCCCAAATCATTTGGGAGTCGTTCTTCACCAGGCTTCTCAGCTTTCCTACTTCATACACTTTCACTACTTCCAATTTGGGGAGCGATACAGATGCTTGCTTAGTATTCGCATCAAGGGACCCACAATCAAACAATGATTCCAGGGAGGGGCAGTTTGTAATCGTGACACTTAACAGGTTATGCAATCTCCCTATGGCTGTGGAAGGGAAGACGTTGAGTAGTTCAGAGCAATTTTCAAGGGTGAGGTCTGCTAATTCGGAGAAGAAACTGCCGAGAAGTTCACCATGCCATATCCTTTTGAAGGATCCCATTGAGTAAAGGTCTAATGTCTTCAATCTTGGTAAACTAACCTGTTCATAAGATTTATGCGTCAGATCATTGCTATGAAAAATTTGACAATTTGGCCTAATCCTATTCGATATATCCGATCTCTAACGATTTCAGATTGTATTTTAATGAAGGTTCGCTGTAGAGCATCTTTTCCGGGCCAAGGAGTCCACCCATTACCTGGGATTCCGAGCAAGGCAATGAAACCTAACCGAAGCGCCACAATGAAATTCATTAAAGGTGGTGAGTTTGTTACTAGTAAAGCTATTTTCACGAGAAAATGACCGAAACTCTCGGGCTAAAATCCAAAAAGTAAAGAATTTCTCTTCCGTGAAAAGCGAAATCATTTTCATGAGGATATCCTCACCACTATCATGCTGCTAATGCAGCAGCACAACTGCACAACTCTCTCTCTCTCTCTCTCTCTCTCTCTCTCTCTGACCAAAACTTTTTCCTCTTTTCTTTTGAATTCATTTGCTGATCTTCAAAACAACTACCATAATTTGGTTGTCTTTTCTTTTGTTTTTCTATTTTGACCTTCAAAATTGAAAACAAATTCGTATTGGAGTTAAATTTTTCATAAATTTTTTGTTAACTTGTTGGTTTTCGTTATGAACAAGTAAATATGACTTACTCGGGCTTATTTCTATTAAGGATCCATAGCAGTGTTTGTCTTTAGTTTGTAAATTTTCGCGCTTTCTTAGTAAAAACTAAAAAAAACCTTTCTGAAATCGCGTTTTTAGCATAACCAAATACAAGAACGATTTTTTACCAGGAAAACAATTTTCAGCAATAATTGATTTCCAGTGTAACAAGCGTACTCTAAATACATGAATGGGCTTGATGTCTCTCAAGAATGTCAAAAACTTAATTGAAACAAAGGGATGACAAAAGCAGAACCACGTTCACACGGTGAGGTTGGCATGACGTGTTAGAATCAAATGCAACTTGCATGTGGGTGGAACATGAATCATGTGGACTATCTTTTGTTACGTGGCTCTTGGTTCGCCTTCCATTTATTTAATCTCTCACTTTCTTCATTTTGAAACTGTTGAATTTCATTCATTCCTTCGAGATTCATTCTTGTTCAATACAACATTTTTTCTCCTCACTAAAAATGTTAAATGAGTAATAAATTAGTCATAATACAAATCCACGTTAGAGCCGAAGTAATTAGTGCAATTATCTAACATTGAAATAAATTGAAAAGAAAACAGTCGTAGATAGAGGTTTCCCCCTAGCTATAGTTGAATGTGAAAAAAAATGTACGGTCTGTGTTTTCTTTGAATGGATTTTTTATCTGTGAATCAAAATGTACAAATAATCAAATTTAATGCAATATGCACTAAGGTTCGGTGAACACCATATCATCTTATCCTAAATCCCCTTGTAATAGTATGATCTAAGTATCGTTTGCAAGATTAAGAATTAAGGAAACTTATACCCAGAAAACGAAAAAATTACCTGAATTGGAGCATCCTCAGCTCCGGTGCAAAAGCTCGTCATATTTGGTAACTTCTGCAAATCCAGACGATGTACATTAGGCAACTCAACTATGTCATCAGCAGCAACTTCTACTTTTCCTGCATCATCTGTGATAATGGCTTGCAATGAGTTACATTCATATACTTGAATCGCTTCCAAATGTATGAGTCTTTGCATCTCTGACAGAAACCACAGATTTTTCAATCGGTGGCACTTTTTGATACGCACGACTTTCAATTTGCTGAAGCAATCTGGTGCGATAGGGCCATTGCATAACTTCTCCAGATTAATAAGATTTTCGAGGAACAAAGACTCTAAAATCGTAAAAGCAGTGAGAGGGAGACCATTGGATGAATTGGCAATGTACTTAATTGAGGGGCTGTTGTCAATGTCGAGATGCTTCAGTTCTCGAAATCCTTGGGTGCACAACTCGTGAGCGTTTTTCTCGAACTCTTTCAACCCGTCCAAAAGTAAGTACTGAGTATTTTGTAGAGTTTTCTGAAGCCATTCTTTTGAAAGAATACTATCGCATCCTTCCAATTTGAGCTTCATGGTTCTCAAATCTTGAAATTCCCTCCCGTCAACATTTCCTATGTTGATCCAAAATCTGATCAGGTTCCCAAATGGCAAGTCACTATCCTTAAAGAGTTTGGTGGGATCAGGGATGGATATTTCCAGAGAGGCTGTCTTTGTCAAGCTCTTCAACTCGGCAAGCCCAACATTACACAATTGCGATGGTATTTCTTCCTTGCCAATCCATCGATCAAAGCTTCCCTTCATATGTAACTCTTCCAATTTGATTAAGCATTTTAGGACGCCAGGCTCGATTGTTTTAAGCTCGTAGCAATTGCTTAGATTCAACAATCTCAGATTCGTCAGTTCCCCGATTTCTTTAGGTAGCCTAGAAATTTTGGACCCTGCGAAGCTGAGAACCTACAATGCTTTGAGCTTGCCAAGAATTGCCACATCGTGCACATCGCAATTGTCTAAGTATAAAGAGCGGAGGTTTATGAGGATTTCCATTGAAGAAGGTAAATGTATGATATGCATGGAGCTCAGATATAGGACTCGGAGCTCCTTCATGTATGTGAAATCTAGTCTACAACAATCTCCCACGTCATGTCGGTGTTTAAGTCTCCCGTCCCACTCTTTTGGTTGAGACAACATGAGTATCTTCAATTCAGGAAACCCACAGCGCGTTAGTTCAGCAAGCCCATCACTGCCAACATCAACTTGGCATATTGCCCAACATTTCTCAAGCTTTTCCTTTGACCACGAGCCATAATTGCTGTTCATCATTAAGGAATTGTGGCCTCTGAATGGAGTTGAGACGACTATCTGGCTGTAAAGATCATGTATGGTCACATTGTCCTTGTCATCGCCACCATCCAGCAACAAACAAGCAGAACGGAGTTCATCGAGCCTAGTATTCAATCTATCCCTTGAATCTTCTATCGTGTTATTGAATCCCTCAAACAAGCCCAAACCCATGCCTAGTACGAGCAGAATTTCGACTCGAATGGTCCTGCCAATAAGACCACAGAGCAAGAATAAGGACTTCGCGTCCTCACTCTTCAAATGGTCGTAACTCAACTTCACTGTGGTTTCTATATTTGACTCATCTATTTTTATCAACGCGTTTTTCCATGCAGACACACCGCTATATTTCAAAGTGCTAGCGACAGAGGTAATCAAAAGAGGCAAACCTGCGAGCTTCTTGACCACTTTAGCGGCTATTCGTTTCAATTCCTCGTCTTTGAGCCTGTCACCTACCATCTTTTCAAATAGCTTAAAAGTTTCGTCGTTGCTTAAACCTTCAAGATGAAATGTTCGATCAGCAAGCATCTTTTGCTCCAGCACATCTTTAAATCTCGACGATAGCAGCAACTTGCATCCCCTGCCCTCCGCTCCCGAAGGAATCCCGACTGCCTTCAAATCAAGTTTATCCCACAGATCGTCCAATATAATGAGAACCTTCTCACTCGGATCCCTCTGTAACCTCTCCAACAGACGATTTCCTCTGCCACTGTCACTTTGCACGTCCTTCAGATCCAGTTTCAAGGCGTCAGCGATCTCGTCTTGGATATTCTTCAAGACAGGAATCTGCGATACTTTCGCTTTGATGATCATGTGGAACGGTCTCCCCTCTTTCCTAAGTTTCTTCTGGACTTCCTCCAATAGCGTAGTCTTCCCCACGCCGCCAGGCCCATAGACCCCAATCACTTTTAGCTTCTCATCATCCACGGCTTTCATTATGCCCTGAGATGGAAGCTCGTGAATCGGTGATAGTGTCACCCCCATCACCGGCAGAGGAATTCACATTAGGAGCACCGGCGACAAGCCCAGGCGGAGCACTCTCATAGTAGACCCTCTTGAATCCCTGCCGGAGTACCTGGATGGCCTGGACTGTCTTCCTCGCACCCCTACCGAGACAATAACGCTCCTTTGGATTGGGAAGCCACCCGTAGAAGCAAGTTTTCTTGGCTCTTCCATCGCAATCCAGCATGTCACGCGCCTTGTTGGCGACGGTCTCCACTTTTTCCAGCCACTCCTTGACATCGGCTTCGATCTGCTTCATGTTGTTTCGAGCTTCTTTGACGGAATGCTGGACCCTTTGCCTTGCCCTTTCCAGCTGGTCAAGTTCTTCCTTAAGTTTGCCAATGTGGCTGTCGGAGAATATCACGTAGCCACATTGATGACCGATCGGAGCCACCAGGTACCCTGCCACTTTGGAAGCCACAGACAGAACAATATCCGCCATTTTTGCCCTCTTTGACTTCTATCTTTCTGATTTTCTTCCTCTTTGTAGAAAAATGAACGTTAAGAATTTATGTAGGCTGAGGAAGGCCGAACTGATGGAACCCAAACGCGAAACGACTGAAGAAGAGGAAAGGTTCAATAAGATGAATTGAGAGAGAGAGAGAGCTAGTGGCTTGAAGAAAACAGTGAAGGACACAGAGTGAAAATGCGAGATAGGAAATGTGACAGATGTCTGAATGGGATGGGGTGAAGGTCCGAAAATATATACGAAGGTGTTGGCCAAGAAAAGTGGTGAAGACCATCTCATTTTTCCTCGGCCAAGAAAAGAATAACTTGAAGAAGAATACCCTATGCTGGAGGAAAAGAATCCTCTATAGCAGAAGACAAGTATCTGAACTGAAAGATGAGAAAGAATCCTCAACATGAAGGGAAAGAAAAAAAAAATGAAAGAATCCTCGGCCATCTCAGGATTTCTTCGCTTGGGAACCTTTAAATAAAGCAAAAAAGAATCCTCCAAACAGGAAAAGATAAATATGAAAGAATCATCTTTCACGAAAGAAATCTCTGCCGCCTCTCTTTTTTCTCTCAATCTCTCTCTTCACTTGTACTGCACTTTGTTTAATCTTCCACCATGATTTCTGCGACTTCGACCCGCCAAATGGGTGAGATCGGATTTGGAGTCAATATGAATCCAGGTCATAGATCAGGTCATTTGAAATGGGTCGATATTTGATCAACTCATATCCGATTATATTCAACTGGATTGTCCTATTTTTTGGCCCATTTCTCCCATATGTCAAGAAATAACTCTGTGCCTTTGGTAAGTATAGATTTGATGCAAACAAAGCGATCACGGTCAGCACGCAATACTTCGATTCTAGCATATTCAAGTTTGGTTTTGACTATAATTCTCGCGAACCATAACACAATCATATATCACCACACATGCTTACTTGAGCGGAATAGCATAAAAGCAAGGACCAATTGACATCACCTCAGGGCCGCAACAGTCGCAAATCAGCATGCATTGACAAGGTTCCAGCAGATTCAAACAAGTTCGAAAATTGAATACCTATGATTATTTATGAAGAAACAGAACTCAAATACGCTTTTATGACCAGAATAGATCAAAAATCTAGTAATGAAGGAAATTCTCAGCCAAGAACTGGATCAAAATACACACTGATTCGGTACAGGAATTTCATCAAACAGGTGGTATGCATTTCGGCCGAGGAGCACCAGATCAAATCATCAATACAGCGTGAATAACAACCGATTTTCACACAGACAATAGCAATAGCTCCCAGCCTCTGCTTCGTATATAAAGCAACTGAAAACGGAGGAAATGTGGTTTAGTTGAATGAAGAATGATTAGCTAAAGCGATCGACATCGGATATACGAGTAAGGAGATAGCAGAAGCAACGTCAAGGAATGGGATCGTCGAAGCAGGCAGTCATGACCGACGTTTAAGCACTTCGGCTTTACAGACCTTCTTGGCGGCGCCGGAACTGCTGGCGATCGGGAAGCGGTGACGATCATCAGCAACGAAGCAAGGAGGAAAGGATTCGATCGAAATCACCGAGAGAGTGACTTGGGGATGCTCAGAAAATCACCCGAGTTCCTTCGATCGATGCTCTCTGTTCTGTGTTGGATGTCCTGTGGTGGATGGAGGGCGACGGAGAGGACAACGAAGATCAAAAGGAATCGCCGAGGGCTAAGAGAGAATTTGATGAGCTCCTTCGGCGTGTGGGAAGGTGGCTCTGCTTCTGTTCTGCCCTCCCTCCCTCCGCAGAGCGCGCCGAGCCTTGAGCATAAAAGGGAGAGAGAGTAAGGAAGAGAGCCAGAGAAGTCTGTTGACGGCCACGCGATGCAGAGTGCACGTGGGTCCCACTGAGAATTGTGTATTATAATACCAACTGATTTTCGATTCGAAGGGCCAGGAGCCAAACCAAAGCAGCGAATATAGAAGGAATACCCGACGCCTTATTCTATATTGCCAAATACTGTTCACCGATCCCATATTGCCTCACGTCCAATGAGCAAGATGAATCGTCGTAATTCTTGGAGGCTTTCCCAGTCAACAGTGCCTTGGTCCGGCTCTGCTCCACAGCTTACTATACTCAAGGCTCGCAAGGATGGGAAGTCCTCAGAGTGCGGTGATTTCAGAGAGTATTTCTCAGGTAAGAAGCTCCTGAATTTCGGCAACTCGAAAAGTCTAAGAGAAGTTAACTTGGAGAAGGTGATTGTCGTGCGGGTCGCTTCTTCCCATTTTTCATGGCCAGCAATTAGTTCCATATCTTCACATGACTCCACCACCAGCTCTTCGATTTGCCCGAGAAATTTCGCCGTGAAGGTAGCGAAAAGTATGTCCAAACGGGAGCACCTCACAACCTCTATGTCTCTCAAGTTTGGGAACGGGATGTCTGGGAGACCATCGGACTGCCAAATGTGCCTCAAGTTTTCAAGATCATGCAAACCTAACATCCACAATTTACAACTCTCTGTATCCTTCCCATCTCTTTCGTATATGATCTCGATCGAACGGCATGAAATCACTCGTAGGATCTCGAGACAACGCTGCAGCCTCTTCCACATGTGGGACGGGGCGATACGTTGGAGATTGTCACAGTTCTTCAATATAAGAGATTCCAATTTCGAAAAGGAACCGGTGGGAATTTGATTGTTCCATAGCTCTTTGCACTGAAGGCCTTCAATTTCTAGACTTCTTATATTGGGAAATGTAACCTGCACGAGGATAATGTGAGAGAGGAGGATAAGTAGGACAAATTTATTACATTATTCTTTCTAAAACATGATAATGCAAGAATACGAATGATCACATTAAGGGATAGAGCGAACCATCTCATTGAAGAACAGTTCTGGGGATTCATCATTTTCTTCGACCGTCTCGTCTAACTTCCTCTTGACACTTGTAGGACTCTGGATGAACACTCCAAAGTTAGGGCACCGCAAAATACGTAGATGACTTAAGGAAGGGAACCTCATCACATCTGCCTTTGATCGACCACCTTCTTCCTCGTGAGCCACTACCTTCAACTGTTCGCATTGCCTATTGTCTATCCTCTCGAGTTTCTCTAGCCTTGTGGCTGTGAAATTGGGGAAGAGATATTTCATGTCGGAGCAATTCGCAACAATGACAAATTTTAGACTAGGAAAGCCCCAAATCATTTGGGAGTCACTCTTCACCAGGCTTCTCATCTTTCCTGCTTCTGTCACCCTCACTTCTTCCAATTTAGGGAGCAACACAGTTGTTTGCTCAGTATTTGCATCAAGGGACCCACAATCAAACAATGATTCTAGGGACGGATAGTTTGCAATCTCGACACTATTCAGGTTGTGCAATCTCCCTATGATTGTAGAAGGGAAGACGTTGAGTAGCTCAAAGCAATTTTCAAGGGTGAGGGTGGCTAATTTGCAGAAAGAACTTCTGGGAAGATCACCATGCCATATCCTTTTGAAGGATCCTACTAATTCAAGCGATAACCGCTCCAAACTTGGTAAACTAACCTGCTCATGAGAATTATACGTTAGATCATACCTATGAAACATCTGACAATTTGGCCTAATCCTAACGATCTATTTCATGCGATGGAAGAATGAATTTTCACCCGTGGCCTTACTCTGACAAATGTAAACATAAATAATGAACACATATTAACTAATAAAACTAAATAAAATTCTTCAAAGAGATTTTATTAGTTGCCCCACCAAGCGTGTGCCTATGACTATAATTGGTGTAATCTCAAGAGAAGGGATTTGTACCTTTTGATCAAAGAAGGAATCGGAGTAAGCATCTTGGAAATCTGAAGTAGCGGTTACTGGCTCTTTGTTTCTACGAGGATATGAGAAGAATTTCTCCATGGGACAGTTACGTATAAGTAGTCCCTTTAGGAGTGGGAATTCTATAACGTCATTTGTCCCTTCATCTGTTCCTTCTTCATCCACAATCACCGCCTTCATATTTGGACAATCCTCCACTTTAATGTCTCTAAGCTCCTCCCTAAGACATTTAGCCACAGACATCGGAAAGAGAAATGCCAGCCCCGTTTTTGTCACCACGAGTTTCTTCAGGCTTTGAAATACCGATATTCCTTGTAATTTCACATCTTGTTTCCACATGCACCGCAGGTTGGGTGACTCCCTTATTGTCAATTCCATTAGCCGAGAGAGAATCTCGACATCTCTCGTGACTTTTAGCTCCCCCAGGTCAAAAGCTGCTTCCGCTGATGAAGAACTCCTAATTTGTAGTGATTCCAAATTCGGCAACTTCAGTATCCAATCTGATTTAAAAAAACTCGACTTGGATTGAGACTCGCTTATCTCTATCGATTTCATATTGCTGTATTTTAATGGAGGTTGACCGAAGAGTATCTTTTCCGTATCAAGGAGTCCAACCATCTCCAGCACCAGGGATTCCAAGCGAGGGAATGAAACCTAAACAAAGCGCCACAAATGGAACTCGTTAAAAGTACCTTTATTGCAAATAAAGCTACCTTTCAAGAAAATGGTTCAGACATTTTCATTTATTTGAACATGGGGAAGATGAATTGGTCAACCAACTTAATTTTATTTTTTTCTCCATTGGCCGAAAATCTCACGCTAAAATACAAAAAACGAATTTCTCTTATGTGAGAAGGGAAATCATTTTCACGAGGATGCACTCGTTGCTATCATGCTGCCAATGCAGCACGAACTGCACGGTGACGTTGACACGGTGACGTTGGCATGACATGTTGGAATCAGTTGCAAATTGCACGTTAGGTGGGACACGAATTACAGGGACTTTCTTTGTTACGTGGCTCCTCGTTCACCCTCAACTTATTTAATCTCCTGACATCGCTTTCTTTTATTTTGAAATTATTGAATTTTATTTATTCATTCGAGGCTCATTCTCGCATTCATTCATTCTGCACACTATTTTTTCATCTCGTTAAAAATGTTGAATAAGTAATAAATTAGTCACAGTAGAAACCCAAGTTATCAGTGCAATTATCTAACGTTGAAATTTTTTAAAAAATAAAAATAAAAAATCAGTCGTGGAAAGAGGCTTCCCTCTAACTATAGTTGAACGTGACTCAGAATATATAGTCTATGTTCTAGTTGAGAGGATTTTTTTTATTTGTAAATCAAAATTTGAATCAAATTGTACAAATAATCAAAGTTTAATGCAATATGTACTAACGTTCAGTGAACACCAATATCATCTCATCCTCATAGGACTAATTGACAGAGGGAAAAAATGCAAAAAAAATTACCTGGATTGGAGTATCCTCTGATGTGATTTCAGCTCTGGCGCAAAAGCTCTTCATATTTGGTAACTGATGCAGTACCAGACGGCGTACTTTAGGCAATGCAGCTCTGTTATCGGTGGAAACTATTTCTTCTCCTGCATCATGTGTGACAATGGATTGCATTGAGTCACATTTCCATACTTCAATCTCTTCCAGCTGTACAAATCTTTGCATATCTGAAAGACACCACAAGTATTTCAATCGGTTGCACTTGCTGACGCTCACGGCTTTCAATTTGCTGAAGCACTCTGGTGCGATAGGGCCATGGTATATCTTCTCCAAATTAATAAGATTTTGAAGGAACAAAGACTCTAACTTCGTAAAAGCAACGAGAGGGAGGCCGTCGGATGAGTTGGCAATGTACTTGATTGAGGGGCTATAGTCAATGTCGAGATGCTTCAGTTCTCGGAATCCTTGGGTGCACAATTCGTGAGCGCTCTTTTTGAACTCACTCAACTTGCATAAATACAAGTACTGAGTCTTCTGCAGAGCTTTCTGAACCCATTCTCTTGAAAGAATATTGTCACACACTTCCAAATTGAGCTCCATGGTTTTCAAACCTTCAAATTCCCTCCCGTCAACATCTCCTATCCTGATCCAAAATCTGACCAGGTTCCCAAATGGTAGATCACCATCCTCCAAGAGTATGATGGGATGAGGAATCGATATTTCCAGAGATGTTAGCTTTGTCAAGCTCTTCAACTCGGCAAGCCAAGCACCACACGATTCCAACGGTATTTCATCCCCGCCCATCCATTCATCAAAGCATCCCATCATATGTAACTCTTCCAAGTTAATTAAGCCTTTAAGGGCTCCGGGCTCGATTATCTCAAGCCAGTCGCAGTTGCTTAGATTCAATGATTGCAGATTCGTTAGTTCCCCGATTTCTTTAGGCAGCCTAGAAATTCTAGACCCTGCGAAGCTGAGAATCCGCAATGCTTTGAGCTTGCCAAGAATTGCAACGTCCTCCACATCGCAATTTATGCTTAATGACTGGAGGTTCCCAAGAATTTCCATCGAAGGAGGTAAACTGGTGATAGACATGGAGCAAACACATAGGGCTCGAAGCTCCTTCATATGTGTGAAATCCATTCTACTGCAATCTCCCATAAAGTATTGTTCCGACAACATGAGTATCTTTGCGTGGGGAAACCGAAACGGCATTATTTCAGCAAGCCTATCATTGCCAACATTAAATAGGCCTGCCCAACATTCCTCAACCTTTTCCTTTGGCCATGTGCCATAATTGCTATTAATCATTAAGGAATTCTTATCTCTAAATGGAGTTGAGACAACCACCTCGCTGTAAAGATCATGTATGGTCACTTTGTCCGTGTCATCACCACCGTCCAACAACAAACAACCAGAACGAAGTTTACTAAGCAGAGTGTCCAATCTATCCCTGGACTTTTGTATCGTCTCTTTGCATTCCTCAAACAAGCCCAAACCCATGCCGAGTACCAATAGAGTTTCGACTTCAATGGTCCCGCCAATAAGACCGCAGAGCAAGAATAAGGACCTGGCGTCCTCCCTCTTCAAATGTTCGTAACTGAATTGCACTATGGTTTCCATTTCTTCCGCATCTATTTTTATTAAAGAGTCTCTCCATTCAGCCAGATCGCTATCTTTCAAGGTGCGCGCGACGGATTTAATCAGAAGAGGCAAACCTGCGAGCTTCTTGACCACTTGAGGCGCTATTGCTTGCAAATCCACTTCTTCTTTGAGCCTGTCACCGACCTGCTCTTCAAATAGCTTCAAAGCTTCGTCGTCCTTTAAACCTTTAAGATGAAATATGGAAGGGGCACACTCCATTTGCTTCAGGACGTCTTCATATCTCGATGTTAGCAGCAATTTGCATTTCCCGCTCACATCTCCTGAAGGAATTCCGACCACATTCAAATCAAGTTCCGCCCACAGGTCGTCCAATATTATGAGAACCTTCTCACTCGGATCCTTCTGTAATCTTTTGAACAGAAGATCTCTTCTTCCCTCTTCACTCGGCTCATCCTTCAGAATATTTAGACTCAAGGCGTAAGCAATATCGTATTGGATTTTCTTCAAGTCCGGAGTCTGCGAGACTTTTGCTTTGACGATCATGTGGAATGGTCCCCCCTCTTTCCTGAGTTTCTTCTCAACTTCCTTCAACAGCGTAGTCTTCCCCACGCCTCCCGGCCCGTAGACCCCAATCACTTTTAGCTTCTCATCATCCAGAGCTTTCATTATGCCCTGAAAGATGGAAGCTCGCGAATCGGTGATAGTGTTGTCTCCATCACCGGCCAACGAATTCATGCCGGGAGCACTGCCAACAAGCGCCGGCGGAGGATTCTCAAATGATACCTTCTCGAATTTAGCCCGCGCAACGAGTTCCTGGATGTCCTTGACCGTCTTGCTCGCCTCTTTGCTGAGACGATATCGCGCCTTCGGGTTGGGAAGCCATCCGTAGAAGCAAGTTTTCTTAGCTCTTCCGTCGTCTTCTAGCACGCCGTGCGCCTTGTTGGCGATGGTCTTCTCTTTGTCCACCCAATCCTTGACGTCCTCTTCGATCGGCTTCATTTTGTTTTGAGCCTCATCGATGGAATGCTGCACCCTTAGCCTCGCGTGATCCAGCTTCTTGACTTCATCCTCAAGTTGGCGAACGTGGCTGTCGGAGAATATCACGTAACCGCATTGACGACTGACCGGAGCCACCAGGTATTCTGCCACTATGGAAGCTACAGACAGAACAATATCCGCCATTTTCCCTCCTTTTCGACTACTACTTTTCTGGTTTTCTTGTAGGAGAAATGGAAGTTAAGAAATTATATATGCTGAGAAAGGCGGAACAGACGGAACCCGGAAAACGAAACGAATTGACTGCGCGGAAGGATTCAATACGATGAATCCACAGCCACGAAAAATTAGGTGAAAAGAGACAGCTTCTAGCAATTGGCGCAGAATTGAGATCGAAATCCAGAGCGAGGAAGTGATCATTTAGAGTTGCAACGATCAGAAAGAGGAGCACATGGCTTTAATAGAGGGAGCGTTACTATGTTACCCACCTGGGCCCATGTATAGGGACATTAATTCTTAATTTCCCTAAGATGCCCTCCCGTCACCATTGTTCGAGGTGAGTGATTTCATGCACCGTCTTGCACCGTAAAAAGATTCTTGTAAATGTGCATCTGTTTTGATTCAGGCCGTCCGCAATTTCAGTCTATTTTCGAATAGCTGAACCATGATGAAACAAGATGAGCATTTCCCTAGAGATTAGCCTTTTCTTGACATCAAAATTTCCCGATTCATCATTCCATGCTTGTGCAGTATCGGTCATAAATCCAAATCGGTTGAGTTATTGAAGAGCCAATTGAGTTTTAGATGCATACATCTATTGTACACGATGACACTTAAAGATTACTTAACATATTGCAAGTCTACCACAAACATATTACTTATCATGGTATTTTGTTACTGGAGTAGCTATTGTATTTGTTACAAAGTTATATGCCGAACTAATGGATTATAACTTATAAACTTTGGAATCACATGCTAATTTGCACATAACCCCAATTTAAAGGTCGTCTCTTTGTGTATGCATATATGTGCGCTCTTCTATGTTCGATTATTTATGAGAACAAATAATTGAATTTACCATGAGGAATAATAGAACCGGTTCTTGAAAATGTAAAATCAGAAATTGGCATGAAGAAAACCGAAATAGCAGCCATCTGGCCACCTTGGAGTTCTTCTTCCAACATCTAATTATTTCCAAAACTTTTTTTAAGAAAAAGAGAGCATTTTCAATCTTATTAGCTAATTAAGAGCGTCTTGTGCCATGTAAGCATCTACATGAGTTTTTCTAATTTTACAATGGTAAAACATGCACCAAAAGTCTCTAAACTGTTGCAAATTGTTCAATCGGACCTTTCAATTTTTTTTTGTGCAATCAAGCCCTTAGATAATATATATATATTGTTTGAGTTTGTCATTCTATTAAAAGAAGAAACAAAAGCACCGACATCAAGACCTGTTTTATCAGGATATTATTATTGATAATTATAGATGAGATATATATTGCTATCGCTAGTTTACTAATGCGTGCAGTAAATAATACATAATATATATATACACATATGTTAATAAACTATTTTCCGATGACATATATATTTATATCAACACATTCAACCGATTGGGTTTATGCTTAAGTTTCCGATAATATTATTTATGCAAATGAACAGTTATATTTAATCGATCCAGACTTCAAAAAGGAGAAAAAAATTAATAAATCACAAAAAAAAGAGCCATAGCAAAAGGCTATTGTTTGCTACTAGACCTATAGTGATTGAGACCCTTTGTAAATATGCATCTGTTTTGTTTCCGGCAGTCCACAATTTCATTCTGTTTTGAATAGGTGAACTATGATGAAACAAGATAAGCATTTCCCCAAAGATTAGCCTATTCTCAAGATCACGATTTCCGGACTAATCATTCCATGCCTGAGTAGTATTAATTGCAAATCCAAATCGGTCGAGTTATTTGAGAGCGAACTAAGTTTTAAACCATATGTATGTTGTACACGATGACACCTAAAGATTAGTATTGCAAGTCTACCATAAACATATTACTTATCACGGTATTTTGTGAATGGAGTAGCTAAAGTACTTGTTACGATTAAGAGACCCCTAAAACTTTTGGAAGAAAGTACTTCATGTGAGGCATCAAATGAGGCCTTTCGATAAGTATTCTACTGGAATTTAGGAGAAGGCTTTATCATCGGTTGGTCCTTGGCATCCTATAGGGTCTCTTCATCACTGTAGCTGAACTATGTTCCATTTTTGAGATATGGAGGTAGAGTTAACATTGATTTCTAAAGGTCATCTTTTTTCATTTTTGATAGACTCAACATGGATCACCATAGGCTTTAGTACTATGTTTCTTACCATCTATCACTAATTTTGATTAAAGGACAAGCATGTTATGAAATAATAATCTCAAGAACACATATATATGGGAATAGCTTAATCTCTTCCACTATGCTGCATACACATTAAACATATGATACTTGTGCATTTGATGCTTTCTGTTCATACCGGGAATACAATATAAACTTTCTTGGTTGTAGAATGTCAAATTACGATCAACCATCAAACCAATGAGATAACTTGTGAGGAATCAGTTTTCATCAGTCGTATCTTCCAATTGGTAGCTCCATGAGACGCCCAATCCATCTCTATCTTGGTTGATCTCGAATCATGAATCTGTTTATAATTTTTTGAAGTTGTATTTCTTTGATGTATTTTTTTTTTGTTGGTAAAATCGTGTGGTGTAATTTTGACTAAATTTCCAATACTATTAACGTTTATATTAAGAAATTGTTTTCCTAAACAATATTATAGTGGACACCGATGGTTAAAATATTATTTTGGGTCGACATTGATCTGTTAGTCAACTTCGGCCAACGATTCCAACTAAAAAATGGCTAAGAATCCTTAAAAAACTAGGTAAAAGGGAGGGGCTTCATGTAATTGGCGTAAATCGAGATTGAAGTCTAGCATGAGAAAGAAGTCAATTAAACGTTACAACCACCAAGAACAGGGACACGTGGCTTTAATGTATGAAGCATGACTATATTATACACGCATTATCTCACACACATGTGCATTAACATTGTTTTTATTTTCCCAAAGATGACCCTCCCGTCCTTCCATGCTGTACATTATAAGTGCTATAACTTTCGTACGGTACTCACTTAATTGTCATAACTATTTTTTCAATCACTATAGTATAATGACTTATTAAAAGATGTTCCCTTAATTGCCATAACTTTCTATCGATTATTCAAGTACTATAACTTTTTGAAATCGTTTACTTATGTGCTAGAAATCTGACGTGGCATAGCACTTGTGATGAAAAAAAGGGAGATTCTTCTTTCTTTGCTTCCTCTCTAACACCCATGATCATCAATGATCATTCTATTTGGTTCAACATTTGAAATGAGCATTGAGGCTCTAAAATCCTTTGAGCAAATACAAATGGCATTTGACAATTTTTTTGAAGCATTTTGGGGAAATGCAATTGCATTTTCAAATGACTCTAAAGGCCTTTAGCCCAAAGTAGGTCTGGAGGTACTTTGACAAGTTACATTTTCGGAATGCAAATTTACTGTTCATCACACTATTCATCATCTTCCCCAAGTAGTAGGTCTAGCGGCCGGCGACCGCCGCCTGAGGGCTAGCGCCACCTCGGCAACCACCGCCTGGGGGGTTGTGCGACCTCGGCGACTGCCGCTTGACGTCGCACAACCATAGACGACCACTGTCGAGGTTGCGCGACCCAGGTGACCGCCGCCTGGGGTCGTCGGATCTCAGGCGTCGCCTGGGTTGTGCGACCCAAGCGACGCTTGAGGGCATGCGACCTCCGGCCGCCTCGCTTAAGATCAGGCGACACTGGCCGGCGACCAAATCTGGCCGGAGGCGGTGGTCGATGGCTGAGCTCCACCTCAAGTTTTTCTTTTATTTTAAATATCAGCAAAAGTCATTTATAAAATATAATTTTTATCAAACGGTATTTAGATTAAAGTTACTTTTAAATGTGATTTTAAAATATACTTAATTAAATATTACTTGCATTTTAAAAAATCTTTTTAACCTAAAGGCTTTTGTATTTTACTATAGGTATTCTCCGAAAGTTGAATCAAATGGGCCAATCCGCGGAGGAGGAGGTTTGGCAGCACAAAGCGAGGTTAAGAGTTAACCATGGTGTGGAGTTAAGTTTGCTTTTTGGCCATCGTCGGTCACTTGGCAATTATTAAAGCTTCGTGTTTTGTCAACCTCGTGGTGCAAATGGGCAGTACGACTTCATGCACGTGAAGACCACTCAGTCAATCACCGAGGGACCCAACTCCACCGAACTGTCCCATCTGTCTTTCTTTTACTTAGATGCTGTGCGCGACAATTGACATGCGAAAAGTATAGGAAAATGTTCAGCCCCCTACGTCAATTGTACAGAAGATAGACAAATCTCAAAATGGGGAAAGAAGAAGAGTAAAGAATATCTTTTATTTAAGTACATGTAATTACCTATATACCTAGTAAAATAGAAATTAAAAAGGACTTGCTGAAAAAGCCTGAAAGCATCACGTTAATGTGTGCACAACCACATACAATTATATATTTAGCCCCAATTTTATACAAATCGTTTTACGTATTACAGCAACAAATATTCTAATAAAAGCAACCCCTCCTAATTCAGTCTATCACTCAAAACGAAAATGATTTTAATCGATGGTAAAATATTCTAACCCATATAATCCAAAAGATGCCCCTCTCGTCCTCCAATGCGCACAGGCCGTACAGGGGTGCATCTTAACCATATCCTGCACAACATCTGCAAGATCTCCAAAAGAAAGAAATGCCTCAACTTGATTACGCTTGACCTCAAAGACGCTGATTGAAAACAAGTGGGCCCCACTCCACCATGTCTTTTGTACTAAAATTGACTTCGGACCACATCGCCTGCGTAGTGCGAGAGCTATCCAGCTGTTTACCAGGGTGGTCCAGAACAAAGTGAAGTTAAGAGTTAACCAGGGTGGAGTTAAGTTGCTTTTTGGCCATCGTCGGTCACTCGGAAATTATCTGAGCTTCGTGTCATGTCAACCTCATGCTGTAGATAGTCAATACGACTCGATACATCGTGAGTCACGTTGTGATTATTATGCTTCGTTTTATATCAACCTCACACCGAGGGACCCAACCCCACCGCACTGTCCTATCTCTCTTTCTACTCGTTGTCCCTTCCGGCTTAGCCTTGTTATAAATCTTTTATTCAAGTACGTGCATTTACCTATACACCTAGTAAAATAGAAATTAAAAGGAAATTGATGAAACAGAATGTGTGCACAACCATATATTATTATAGATTTGTCCTCAAATATGTATAGATTGTCTCACGAGTAACAAGAACAAAACACATTCTAAATAAAGTAGCATCTTAATTGGTTTGATTATTGCGCGGATAATCCAAAATTGTTTAATAACCTGATATAATCAAATAGTCGTTACGCTGGTGTAAATATTATAGTGCTGCAATAGAAGTTGTTTTTC